GGCGGCGCCGCCTACGAGATGCCCGCGTTCACGGCAGAGCTCCTCACCCCCTTCCCCCGGGTTGGGGTGCCCGTGAAGTTCGACAAGCTCCTCTACAACGGCCGGCAGAACTACAACCCCCAGACGGGCATCTTCACCTGCGAGATCCCCGGCGTCTACTACTTCGCCTACCACGTCCACTGTAAAGGGGCCAACGTGTGGGTGGCTCTGTTCAAGAACAACGAGCCGCTGATGTACACCTACGACGAGTACAAGAAGGGCTTCCTGGACCAGGCGTCGGGCAGCGCCGTGGTCCAGCTGAGGCACGGAGACAAGGTTTACGTTCAGATGCCCTCCGAGCAGGCGGCAGGACTCTATGCCGGGCAGTACGTTCACTCCTCTTTTTCAGGATATTTATTGTATCCCATGTAAAACAAAAAACAGACACACACACACACACACACACACACAAAACCAAAACCTTTCTTCTCCGCTTCAAACTTCCATACTAGGAAAGATGCATTTTATGACCATTTCAGACCATCTTGTACAAAAAAATAAAAAATAATAAATACAAAGTTTAACGTTATGCACAGCTAGTTATAAAAACAAAAAAAAAGAGTGTGGTGAACGTATCTAAAGACGTGTATCAGGTTCATAAACGGTCGTTTCGCACCCCAGGGGGACATATTAGCTGTACATTATATATTTCTCTGATGCCATGCTTACTTAATTTCACAATAATTCAGTTCTAAGGTTCAAATCAGTGTACGGCGCTCCTGTTGCCTATTTGATTGTTGCATTGATCATAGTTACAAGAGAAAAACCAGTGACTTAAACCAGAGTAGTTCTGTCTCAGATTATATGGAAAACTTTGAGTGGCTTTTTATTTGTTTGAGTGGGAGTTTTGTTTTGGATTATTTTTTTTGACAGCGGGTCTGCCTGACAAGCAAAGGTTCTCTTAGCTGGAGACCTTCATTTCCCTTGCCCCCATTTAAAGTATTCCTGCAGGTGTGGGGTTTTTTTATTCCTGAACAATTTATTTATGATGGAAAAGGAGTACTGATGGTGTAACTATTCCCCACCAGTCAGCTGTTGGAGCTAGAACACCGCCAGCGACTCCGGCGGGCGCTGGGCTCAGCTCCGAATGCCACAGCGCCCTTTGGAAAGCCTCCCTCTGCGTTCGCAGGGTTTGAAGTAGATGAGGTAGACCAGAGATAAAATTGAAGGGTTCCCCTTTTGCTTCATGCCACGTGATGGAGGCATTTTGGCCAACACGTGGCAAAGCAGCAGGGGGGTAAAAATTGGAGGGGATTTCCATGCTGGCGCCGAAGACCCACGCCTGGCTTGTCAGGAGAGACGCCTGCTCAGCCACTCTGCAAAAGCACAGTCACCTCCCTCTCCAACGACTAGGCCAAGCAGAAACAGCTCTGTTTGCTAATTAACTAACCCGTTCTTTGAGATCAAACAATAACTTCACCAGCAATCCTGATCGTGCAAACTTATCTGAGAACTTTTATATAAAAGCTGATTTTCTAATCCTTATTTATACGTTACCAGTTGTCAAGGAGAACCTCCGGGCCTCAAAGCTTTTCTGTGCGTGAGGAAAGCAGCTCTCCTGGGAGAGCTGCCTGTTCATCAATGGTGCTAATCTCACCTCGGGAGCACTCCTTCCCAAAGGGCAGTGTACCTTGCTGTGGTTCCCTGTACAGTGCTGCACATCACACACTGTTCATGCCAGCTGAAAGAGTTAAACGCTCGTCACTTCTTCCGTGTCTTTAGCTAACGCTACCGCTTTTGATTCAAAAATGAACTAGAGGGTTTGTTTTTTTTTATGCAGAACTAAGATTGGATTTAACTGGCATTACCATTATTTAAATGCAGAGTTTAATGCAGTCTAACATTGACTAAGGACTCCAGTGATATAATGTGGTGCTTTATCTCAGAAATCTTACGGAACGGTGGCAGGAACGGACGGACAGTTTACCAGACATTGGTGACTTCGGTGTGTTCCCAGAATATATGAGATATGTCAAAAGCAAATAATTTTGTATTTAAAATTTTTGTACTGATTTGAAAAAATATCTTATTAAATATCTTTAAAAAAAAAAAAATTAAAAAAAAAAAGAATTCTGTCTTCATTCAGCAGAATTGTTAGAAAGAACCTTCAGCCCACTGGATTAATAGATCAGACCACAAGGAGACTCTGAGAAACCACTGACAGCCTGAAAAACAAAAAAAAGAAGAGATACCAGAGATTCCCTTTTCTTTTGTGCTCCCTGAAAAAGCCAGGGCTGGCTGCCCGAGCTGGGAGATGCACACCATGTCCCTGGGTACCTGATGTTTGGAAAGAGCTTTTCCCAGTCCTTCTCCTCAGTTTTTCACCTGCAGGGAAATCGTCGTGTGAAAGCCACAACGTTTTTGTCAGTGCTCTACGTCACTGTTCAGCCGTGGCCCCACTGCAGGGACTAAGTTCTAACCCATGGTGTGGTGCCTTCTCACCCCAGAGACGGGCATTTCCTCCAAGCTGGTGAACTCCCAAACTGCCAGTACTGCAATGAGTGCACTGAACACCTCCCTGTGCCAGGCAATTGTTTTCTAAATCTCCCTCAGACCCCCTGAAGCTGCTGGATAAGCAGCTCCCCACTCCCCAGCATCCTTTTCACTGGACAAAGAGAAAACAAAGCATGAGTGAAGTATCCCAACTACTGGCTCTCACTTCCTATCTAAAGTTTTTCATCATGCACCATCTTAGCTAAATGCCTTTTATTTTAGCATTCCCCTGGAAGTTCTTAGTAAGACAGGCAGAATATAAAAAAAAAAGACAAATTAAAATCAGGAGGATGCTGCTTTTGATCTTACCCACAAAAACTGTGTCCAGGCTTTGCTTTTACTCAGCCTGGAGCGAGATCTCCACCCAGGGCCAGAGATTTTCAGCCCTGTGTGTTCTACTGAGCACCAACGTTTGTTCTGAAGCTCGCCAGGGTGCCTGACCACGCTGTGTGTACCTTCTACACCATCACCACTAATGAGGGGGCTGGGCACGCCCGTGCATCCACACACACACAGCACTGACCTTGCAGAAATGACCCTGAGGGCACCGTCTTTCACACAGTTTATTCACAGGAAAAACGATCTCTTTCCACGTGTAGCGTTCAGAATTTCACTTGAAACCACTGTAAAAACGTCTTCAAAATACAGCTGGCTCTTTAAAGGCATATAAAACTTAAGACAAATGGCAAATAAAATAAGTATTTACCGATATCAAAACCAGATGTTGAGCTTCATAGGTTCTTAAAAATTAGACCCCACTTAAAAGTTAAGGTATTTGTCCTACCTCCCCGGGCACTGTTAAAAAGGAAAGTGTGGCACAGGAGACAAAAGGTGCCACACGCTCATTATTAAACACCAAAGTTGTGATTCTGTATCATTATCACCAACACAGTCACTAGAAATGTCACCCAGTAACATCATTTAGGCACTCTCTAGCTAAATACTCAGATTTGTGTTTAGTGCAATAGTTTGTGACCTTCTTTCTTAAGTCATATCTCTGTACTTCCCTTAATTATTACCGCAGAGGAAAGAAATACCTTCCTGACAGAAGACAAACAAGGAAACCCCCAGAAGTCCGAGGCAGGCAGAGTTTTCAGCTGACACATCACCCTGCCTGTTTTGGGGATACTGTGGGACCTTAGAGCTGGGTCCTTCTGCTGGTGCAGCCTCTTGAGGGGCACTGGGAGATAAAATGCAGGAGCACCTTCGCTGCAAGATGCTGCTGTCTTGAAGTGCAGCAGGCTGGTGGAGGGCAGGACAGAGGAAAAAGGGTTGATACCATCTGATTTAGCAGTTGAGAGAGAAAGAAAATTGATGGGAGACCTACACAGTTACACCATCCCTGTTACCAGACACAAGCTGGCAGCACCCTGGGATTCAAAATCAGCAGCTTTGCTGCTGCTGTGAGAAAAAAAATTGGGTAGCTTTTAAAGGGAAGTTTCAGTGCAGAGATTTCACTTTCAAGAACAGCAAAAATGGAAAAAGAAAATCTTAAGAGCAGCTCACTCAAAGAAAAGAACTAAGTATTTGGAGGTTTTTTCTTTTTTTTTTCCATAAAGTCCCAAGGCAAATCTTTGGTATTGTGAAACTCCTGTGAAAACGTGTGCCTGGGTAGGGTAGAATCTGAGTTTTACTGAGAAATGTGCCACAAACAGGTGTTTGTCTGTGTAAAGTTAGTGTGAAAGCAACGTCTGTCCTCAAGGCAGAGGAGCAGAAGTGACTCTGCAAAGTGGGTGACGAAGCAGGGCTGGTGTACACAGAATTCCACCAAAAGAACTTGTGGGGGAAGGAAACCCATCACCTGGGTCATTGCTGGGTATTGGAGAGAGAAGCTACTGCCCTGCAACCCCAAACCCAAACCAGTCCCCACTGGTTTATCAGTGGTACCAGTCAGCTCTTGGCTCGGTCCTGAGTGAGCAGGTCTGGCTCTAAATGTCACCCAGCCACCCTGTGACAGCCACCTGGGTGTCTGTGGACTCCACATCCCTGTGGGAGCACAGGAGTGAGGGGGAAAATATCCCTGGGAGCACTGCTGGATGTCTAAAAGAGAAGTCATACAGATGGGGAGGTTTGTTGGGAAGAAATAAAAAGGAGCAGCCAACAGGGGTAAATGCTGGCAGACAGAATATTAAATGCATTGAGAATACTAAACATATTAAAAAAATAAATTAAAAAATAAAAAATCTTAGGGAGACCAGCAAGCTGATGTGGTAAAAAGGTAATAAAGGAGTCTGCTTAAAGTAAAAAGAGTTTGGGGAACAATTTGTTTGTCATGAAGCCTCTTTTCTGATTATTTTGTTTGGATTCTAACTAGAGCAGAATGATCCCTGCAGAATAAAAAGGCAGAAAACCAAACCTCCCAGGAAAATTAGGAGAAGGAATCAGTTTAGATCAGTGAGAAAGGTGTTTCTGGAGAGGAAGTAAAGCAGAGACTATAAGCAGATCTTCAAAAGCAGAGCTCCCTACCCACCTCCTGCCACAGGGGAGAGGAGTGGAGGAGCAGAGGGAAGCAGCCTGCACCATGACAGGAACCAGGCACTGCCAGGAGAGGGGGAATTCAGCAGCTTTCCTGGGGAAATCCCTCAGGGGCAGTGTATGGTGAGGGGTCCCACGGGTGTGCCTGGCTCTGGGAGCAGCCCTGGGTCTCCAGGGGTTAGGGAGCCCTCCACTCCTTCCTGGCTCTGCTCTCAACAAGGACTCCTACACAAAGAGTTCAAAGACCACTGTGACCTCTGCAGAAATGCTCACCTCAGCTTTTTTTTGGGAGTGGAATTGCTATTGTCAGTAGTCTAAACCACTGCAGGTCTGGGGCTGCAGGCACATACAAAGCTTTCTAATTAACTGAAATAATCATGAGAAATAAATGCTGATAGAGAGAAGGACAGTAGTGTCACTTTTCTGATGTAACCCCCCACCTGTCTGCATTCAGATTTTGAAGCAAAGATGTCCTCAAAGCCTCAGAAACATGCATGTTTAAAAAAATAAAAGAAAAAAAGGAAACAACTGAGTAAAACCCCTCCTGCCACCTGAAGAAATTCTGGTTTCCTCCATTTCTACTACCATCCATCTGCTCAGTGCCCCAGGACCTCCCATGCCCCCCTCTCCTCCACAACCTTGCCTGCTGCCCCCTGCTTTCCTGGACAAGGGTCACCCCCTGCAGCAGCTGAGCCCAAGGGACACACATCCAGCTGGCAGGACACCACAGCACAGCCTGTCCCCTGCTGGGATCACTTCTGGGTCCTTCTCTGCCCTCTGCCACAGACTTTGATGACACCTTGAGTTATTTCAGGTATGTCCAATTTGTTTGAAACGGACCAAAGCTGAGGAGTCATTAGGCAAAACACACAAGCTGCCTCCTCCTCAGCTGTGCCTCCCCTTCAAAATCATTCCTTCCCAAATGGCAGAGCCATTCCCCTCACACTAATTCCCAAAGAGCAGAGCCAAGGGACTAGAGATGGACATGAGAGCTACAGGAAAGGGGTTTGGTTTGGGTTTTGTTTGGTTTCTTTTAAATAACTATTGCACTCCACAGAAGAAACAGGAAAAAAGGAAGATGACTTTTTGGTCACTTCAATGCTTATTCCTCTGCACTGCTGCAGCAAGGAAACTGTGTTCAGTGCTCTGCTAGTCATCAGCTTCAGAAAACATGCTCTTGAGGTTTGTATCCATAGTGTAGTTGCTTGCAGTGCTCCTCAACGTACTAAAACTCTCCATATAATTTTATTAAAAAGCAGCAAAGGTTTTTCTATCAACTTGAAAGGCTCATTTTAAACTGGACTTCTTCCTTTGGGTGTGACTGATCACGATAACCACAACATCTTCAGGGAAATCTGCCACAGTTAAAAACAAAATAAACATATACACAACCTCTAAGAGAACTGAACCAGCATGTGATCTGCTTTCCTTTGAGTTGTCACAGGCCTTGCCAGGCAGATTTAACTCACTCAGCAGCTTGTCTGAGACAAACCAATACAGGAAACATAAATGTCCCATTAAATGTTTCAGTTAAAATCCCAAGTATGTGCCCACCACTGAATGATTTCGTTCAGCCACATCCTTTTAACCTAAAAGTCAAGACAGAAGAGGTGTACAGAAGCTACTGAGACCCCAGCTGAGGTACACCTTGGATATTCCCTAGCACACTCTGCTGCCCAAGTGGGAACGCTCACTGTGCACACTGATGCCTTTCAAAGGTGGAAACACATCACAGCATCTGAGAAAGGAATTGTTCTGGTTTGGGAAAATACACCTTGATTCTTGGAGAGCAAACAGGCACATGAAATCCTGCCCTGGAGATCCAGGAATCCAACAAGCATTGGCTGTAAATTTGAAGTCAGGCATGACATCTCAGTGCCAGGTCCTGTTCCTGTGGTGGCTGGGGGGAAGTGGTTGATGTGCAGGCAGTGAGACACTCTCCAGTCTTCAGACTCCTCCTTTTCCACCTCACCAGCTGTAAAAACTGACTGGACACACAGCACAGGGAGCTGGTTTTCCATAACCAGGTACAACATGAGCCTTGTCAACACAAACACCTCCACAAGTGGGACCAAAGGGTCTTCACCATCAGCAAGGAGCAGGGCAGAGCTGATGGCCAGTGCAGGGGCTGTGGCTTCTGTGCTGAAGATGGACATCCCCTCCTTGGGAGCAGGGCAGACCAAAGCCTGTACTCTCTCTGTTCCCCCTTCTCCCAAACACAGGGCAATGATTTATAGGCAGAGTTTTAAAGCCATTTTCATACTACAAGACAGAAATTCAAGAATTTACCTCCATCTACTAATTAAACACTGGTCACCTCAGCCTTTTGACAGCCTAAGTCTCTTGGAGGACAACGTCAGAAACAAAAGTATTCCAGAGAAGTAATCATTTGAAAAAAGAGTTCTTGCTGATAAATAAGTGATGTGCATCACAGTTTCATATATCCCTGATACTTTCAGCTGAAAGTTTCATGGTTTTCCCATTATTAAATAGCTTCACAGAAATTCAGTTCACTCTGTTTGCAATAGTCCACTACCCTCAGGCTTAGAAGAACCTTCTGCCTTAGTGAGGTTTCTGTGCTCTTTTCAAACAGTAAACAGTTATGCTGCACTTAAAAAATAAAAATGTCATACAAAAAATAAAAATTTTTCAAATCTTGAAAATAGTGATTGTTCTTTGTACTTTCCATTCAGCTTTCATGTCAAATTGACCACAAAGTTCTTGTCTATAAGCTTCTTCAGAAACTTCTGCTCAGCGTTGATGTTGTGGTATTCATTCTAAAGGGATGAGGAAATAACAGGAAAAATTAAATTCTAATTATTACCAGAAGCATCACTTTATTAATTCCTTTTAATTATCTGTGATACTTGAAAGGTGCTAAGAGGAGGAAAGCTCTGGGAAAAAGACTTCTTAGCAAAGGCTGTAGCACAGTCTCCCAAGAAAACAGGTGAGTGACTCTAGTGCTCAGAATAAATTTGGGTTGTGTCCTAATGGAAAATTTACCAGGGTGATCTTTCAGTGGCAAGAATGAGATGTGGTCTCAGAGAAGTCCATCCATTACTAACTCTCCCAACTCTTCCCTGTGCTCAGGCAACTGCTGCACAATCAGATTTACAGCACAAGCAGTCAGAAAATTACTCTCAAAGCTCAGTGCAGGCTCTCAAAAAGCACACACGGAGCATTTGTAAATTGGATGTGTCCTGCCCATCAGTTCAGGAGGTCAAAATCATCTCTGCTGGACCCAGATCAGAAAACCTCAGAAGGAAGGTGAGTTCTGTGTTTGAGGAAAATCGTCTCAGAACAGCAGGCACCCAAGAGTCCTCAGAGAGAGAAGAGAGGCTCCTGTAGACATCACCCCCATTCCTCCTCCTTTAGGAGGTGGAGGAGGAGAGAAAATAGTCCCCATATGCACTGAGCATACACATGGAAGAGAAAACTGTTCAGGTTGAGGTGAAGGGCTGAGATGGAGCTGCTCAGAGGCAAGAGCAGAGATGTGAAAAAAAAAAACCCCAAACCACAACCCCGAGGCATGACCAGAGCAAAGCAGGAGGCCCCTCTCTGCAGGATGGGAGGAGAAGGCATCCATTATATTTGCCAGCATCCTGCTGCTCCCTCCCTGTGGTGAGTTGTGGCTTCCCCCTCCTGTAAGCAGTTTCCTCTCTTCCTACCCCCCTCTAAGAGCTGCTTTTCTTTTCTGCTTTCCATTTCTGAAATTCAGCTCTTTTCCCAACTACAAGCTTATAGTTCTTTAACTCCTTCCTTTCCACCTCACTCATCTTTCTCTTTTTTTCAGAAATTTGCCAACTGTGACAAACTGTGCAAACAGCTGCCAAGGAAGAAGAGAATGCAAACAGCAGCACCACTATTAATGTTCTGACAGTGCCAGCAAATTTGCCTCTACAAATGAGAGCTGTCTAGCCTAATGGCAACACTAGTAAAACACAGCAGAACATACAAATGGATGCCTCTCACCCAGACACTGCAGAAGGTGGTGCAGCACAAGGGACACAGACATCACCAGGCTGCCCTACCTGCATCATCTGAGCCATGGTGTCGTTGCCATAGTAGTGTAAGGAGCTGTTCCTGTCAGTGAAGTCATACTTGAAGCCTGCCAGGTGAACTTCATGGCATATGTGGAATGCCAGGGTAATGGCAATCAGCCCTGTCGTGGGGTGCTTGGGCTTCTGAAATGGAACACACAGAGCATACATAAGTCACTGGCAGCTTGATGGCAACAGCAGGCCTGAGAACCAAGGCAGCAGAAGTCACCCAATTTGACCCAATTAAGAGCTGTGTTCAGAACTGGCTGGATGATGAGCATCCAGACAAGCAGGAAAACATGACAGGTCTCAAATCTTCATCACACCCAACTCACACCACACGAAGGCTACTGCTGCATTAATTGTCTGCATTTGAACTTTCCCAGAGCAGGGAAATTCCAGAACATAGCGTAACCCTCCCCCCTCTCTTTCCATTAAAGGAATATACACTGTAAAATTCCTTATTTCTCCCTATATGGAGATAGTTCAGAAGTAACTGCAACATAAAATATGAAGAGCAGATCATAAACAGATTTTAACTGTACACCTAAACAAAAATTAGCATTTCTTACAAGAGCAGGGAACAACTCACTGCAACTACCTGTCCTATCTTGTGATCAAATACATGACTCCTAAGAGCAGCAGCACCTACAGTGATATAAGAAAGTAAAACAAAGCCAGGTTTGTACAGAGAGGTGAACTCTTTCACTAGAGTAAGTGACAAAGCTGAGGCCAAAAAGTGCCCTCAGAAACAGACAAAACTTTGAGGCATTAATGCCTTTCTGAGCTAAAATAATTTTATCAGAGACCCAATGAACACACCACTTCCAAATAGCTTCAAACCTCCACTGAGGCTGCAAACCTCCACACTTTTTTGAACTCCTACCCAAAGCACAGGTCATTTGCCTCTGAAAATGAAGTAGGCAAACCATGACTAGACAACTCTGCACACAGAGAAGGCAGATACACTCCATACAGAAAAAATATTTCTTTGTATTGTATAATACAAGAACAAATTCCCAGAAAAAAGTACTAACATCAGCTCTGTAAGCCTAATTAAAGTCACAGAATTGAACTATTACCTTTTATGTGGAATTTTTTTGTGCCTTTCTACTACTTTTGGGAGTATTCCAAGACTAACATGAACTTAAAATGCATGCTGTTGCCCAGGGCTCCTGCCAGTTAGCAAAATAACTTTCTGTCCTGGGGGCTCAACAGCACAAGCTGAGTGGTCTGTTGCAATGTCTGTACTAAACAGGACTCCAAAATTATGACAGTAATGCCACATGTCAGGATTATTGCTGTTTGGAGTATCAGAGGTTGCAACGAGCTTGGTTTGCCTTTCTCTGTCATAAAGTTCAGCTCAAAAGAACACAATAAAAAGCAGCAATGCTCCTTTTGAAATTGTGGTTTAGCTGTATCCAGATATCCTTGGCCTGCCATGAAATTCCTTCAGGGATGGAGCAAGTCAGGTGTGGAGGTGGGGGACAGGGGCTCCAAGCAAAGAGGAGAGGAGCAGAGGGCATGCATGCCACCCAAAGTGACTGAGATCCCTGTGCCTCTGCACCAGCCAGAGGACACCAGGCACATCTGTTTGGCTCACTAACAGCACTGGCCTTTTACTCCCACTGAGAGGGGAGCACAGGAAGAGGCAGGAAGGATTTATGGAGCCATGGATGCTCTGTGGCCCTTGAGGAGATAGTTACAGCATCCAACTACTATGCTGCTTTCTCCCCACCCTTGGCTGAAGAGCTGAAACACCACAGAGCCCCAGCAAGCACATGGGTATTCCAGTTCCAAAAAAGTTGTGGTAGGTGCTCCACAGCATCAGCCTGCCAAGCATTTCCACACATGTCAGCTGGCTGATGCTGATGAAGCAGCTCTGGGACCCCAGGGACCCCTGTTTGTGCTAAAACAGGCTGTGGTCAGTCCTGGCTGCACGTGGGAGGTCTCCAGCTTGAAGCCTTACCTGTCAGCAGCAACTTCCTTCAGTCAGAAACTAAGTTAAAATGTATTTTTAGGTCCAAACTGTTGGTTAACTCATTACAATGCTGGGCATCAAATCAGTAAGCACAGGAATGCTGCTAAACAGATGGCATGAGCATGGGGCCGGAATATCCTGTATGCTCCCTGGTCCCTACCTGCCCCAGCAGCATGGAGTTCCAGTAGTGTCCCCAGTAGTGTCACAGTTACTGGGTTGTTGGGGTTTTTTAGGGGGTTTGTTTGTTCAGAGTGGGGCTTTTTTTGGTGTTTGGTTTGTGGTGGGGGTTTTTGTTTGGAGTTTTTTTTTTTGGTTTGATGTTCTGTGGGTTTGGGGGACTTTTTAATGATTTTTTTCCCCCTTTTTTAAAATAAAAACTATTACCACTCTACATTTACTAATTCAAGACTCTTTAATACTTCTAGATGCTCTTTGGATCTGACATGTTCCACTGCCTGTCTGTTTTTCCCAATTTTGTAAAAGGCATCATGTCTGCCTAAAAAAGAGGTCTCATTTAATACCAGTTAGAGAATCCACAAAGAATATTTTTGGCATAGAAGGCTACCAGCTTTCTTTCTGGATTCTATTTTCCCCATCTTTTTTGAGCACCAGCTAAATGCAAACTACTGCAATGTAAACCCAAATGCTGTTCTAACACAGTTCACTATAATAGAGATAAATCTCAGTACACATTTGGTTGCACAAAACCAAAAGGTGCAGAAGAAAAAAGCCTACCTCCTTCTTGGGAAACCTTGTTGGGAAATGAAGCCACTCATAAGCTGTTTTTCTGGTGATGCTGGGATCAAGAATCCTGATCTGACTTGATTTGTATATCATGTTCAGAGCTGGTTTCTTCCAAAAGCCTTTAGCACTCTGTAACAGGCAAACACACACAGATTTTTAACAGCTATAAAGAGCTGATTTTGGTTTTGTTGCATTTCTAGCCAGAGTAAAATTCAAGTGCAGGAGGTTAAGGAAGAAGAGTGTTGAATCTCACAAAGATCAACAAAAACAGACCAAATTGTGCTTCTGCAGGAGGATAACTTGCTGCAGCAGCAGGTGTTGGAGCCAGCTGGCTGGCAAACAGCTTTGCAGAAAGGTCCCTGATGGACAACACGTGCCAGCAGCGTGCCCTGGAGACACTAAAGGCTCATTAGGTGATTAGCCACGTTAATAAAAGCATAGAGAACAGGCAGACAAAAGTTACCATTCTCAAGGGCTTTGTACTGTGCCTTTCTGCAATCTCACACACACAGTTTTGGGCTCCTCCCTGTGGGAAAGAGAGCATCAAGCTTGGACAAGCTCAGCTCAGGGGAAGGCCACTAAAACAGCTGAGGGGCTGGAGTGCACAGCAAACAAGCAGGGTCTAAGGAGGATGGGTTTGTTCAGTCCATATTCAACTATCATACATAAAAAGACAGGATCAGACTCATCTCAGAGGTGGGTAGTGAAAGGGTGAGAAATTATTTCCTGTGAGCACTGACACAGAGGTTGTAGCACTATCCTTGGAAATACTCAAAACTTACCCAGACGATGCCCTGAGAACCTGGCAAGACTTTGAACTTGGCCCTGCTTTCTTGCAACAAGGTTTTGGACTAAAGACCTCCACAAAGAGGTCCCTTCCAACGTTGTTTTGCAGTTCCACCAAGTGCATGAGATAAAATAGTCTGGGAAGTGGCTGGAGCATGAATGTCAGAATGTGAAACAGTACAAGGAAGAGGATAAAAAAAGTATTTCCAAGGGGAAAATTGCTTTTGGGTGAGGAACTGATGAAATATGTGTGCAAGAAAGAGGACAGGAGCATTGATGGGAAAGGGATGCTCAGCAAGCTGACTAGGAGATCAGTGCTTCCCCTGCAAGGAGGACCAGAGCTAAAACTTATTGTGGCCTTCCAGTATCTTAGGGGGGCCTACAAGAAAGCTGGGGAGGGACTTTTTAGGATCTCGAGTAACAACAGGACTAGGGGGAATGGGGCAAAGCTGGCAGTGGGCAGATTCAGGCTGGATGTGAGGAAGAAGTTCTTCCCCATGAGAGTGGTGAGACCCTGGAAGGGGTTGCCCAGGGAGGGGGTTGAGGCCCCATCCCTGGGGGGCTTTAAGGCCAGGCTGGAGGAGGCTCTGGGCAGCCTGATCTAGTGGGAGGTGTCCCTGCTCACGGCAGAGGGGTTGGAACTGGGGGATCCTTGTGGTCCCTGCCAACCCTGACAGATTCTGATCTGTTTTAGCAGAGGACTTTAGAGCCTTAATGGCTCAATGGTTGGACTTGATGATCTTGGAGGCCCCTTCCAACCTAAAGGATTCTATGATTCTAAAAGCAAAACAGGTATTCCACGTGAGAGGTGTGTGGCAAGCTGAGCCAGAGCCCAGGACTGATCCAACTCACTATTTTCTGACCACTCAGTATCTCCCAAAGCCACTTCAAGTCCCGTGGTTTGAAGACGATGAGGACAACAGTGGTGTTGGGGTCATAGTGGATGGGATCTGAGAAGATGGACTCTGGGTACGAGAGGCGGAAGGTCGTCCTCCTCCCGACGTCCTCTTCGTACCCCACCACGGGGCCATTGTTCATCCTGCACAGGACAGAGACAGCAATCACCACCCCACCCTTGGTCTGGGGGGCAGGCTGTGCCCAGGCACAAGAGTTTAGAGGCCCAGCATTTACTTATCATGGTAGATGAGCAATTAGCAGGTGCACTCACCCCCTGACTCAGAGGGGTCAAGCCCAGGTGGGACCTGGGCCAAGGTGGTTTAGGATACAGTCTCATGATTGCTTATCATGTGTCAGTCCAGCAGAAGGCTGCCTGATCTGGCTCAAACACAGAAACTGGAGAAGACCAAAGAGAATATCTGCTTGGAGAATTACCCATTGCTCCATTCATGCCACTAGATGACCTGAGTCACAGCAGGCAACTCCAGAATGTTTTAATATCCTTCATTGTCTACAGCACACAGGCATGACTGTGTACCTGGTGCAGCTTTGTATTTGCTGCAGGGTTTTGGAGTGGTTTTGTGTGTGGTTTGGGTTTTTTTTTATTTTATTTTTATTTTTTATAATACTACAGCTGCCACTGCTTTGGGATATAGAAGATTATTAAGCAGGGAGGAGGTGGGTCAGGGCTCTCTCCTCCAAGGTTTTAGAGGGGCTGTGTTTAAGTCTCTGTCTTGAAGTCTTTGCTTGGTGGGTGTGTTGCACATTCTTTGGAGAATTCAGGCAGTCTCTGTATGCTCCAGTCCTGCCAATGTGACTGTTTAAAAGAGGAAGCACACTGCTTAGGAGCAAATGTTTGCAAGACAAGGTATGCAGACAAGGGAATATTTCAAAATTTTATTAAATGTCATCATTAAATATAGAATGCAAACACCACCTCTTTGTTCCTTCATGTTAAAAAAAAAGTATACTCTATATTTGAAACAGTTTTGAATTTAGAAGTGTTTTTAAATGTGTGGCACAAAGATTTCCATTTTAACCAGAGTACCCAAATACTTAAAATAGTTTAAAAATAATCCTTGCATCATTATACCACAGAGAAAATAAGCAAAAGGTATGTTGGGGTTTTTTTTAAAGCAGAAAGCAGTCAGACAAGGCAAGTTTCCTAAGAACAAGGATATTATCTGCATCATTTTCTATAGTTTCAAGTTTAGAAGAGGAGCTGATGTATTCATTTCCACTTTTTATCAGAACATTTTGAAATGCAGCTTTTGTATACAACTGTTTACAGTAGTGCTTGAAGACTGGAAATATTACTAAATATTACTAAAGTGAGCATCAGGATTGATGTCAAAGTGGTAAAAATTAGATTTTGTTCAATGCTCAACACAATGTTGAAGAAAAACTGAAATGGCAGCTCAGAAGTTTTAGTCAGAGGTTTCAGGCATGCTATATGACAGGGCACCTACAGGGAGGGGGGCTATTTAATCAATTACCATCTCAGTTCCTGCAAAGGAGAAACTAAGTTCTCTCTCTCTTACTGTGTGGAAAATCCTGTTATAATTAGCCAAATAGCCTATTTTCAGTTTCTTTGGCATTTGAGGTTCCCCCCCACTTCCTTGCCTGTTGCTCAGCAACCTCTAGTGGGTCAGAGCATCTCATAAACATCTAATATGAAACAGCATGCTTGAGGAAAAGGGGCAGACTTCAACAGCATCCTCCAGCTGACCTGTGCCTTGAGATGGACTCCCAGCATAAATATTACTGTTTAATCCACTCTGGGCAAGGCACACACCAGCTCAGGGCTAGGAGAGATGTGGTGTGGAAGGTAAGAAGCAGGGTTTCCTAAAACATTTCATAAAACACTGATCCATTTTCTCCTAATTCTTTTTTTTTTTTAATGAAGGCTCCAACAGACTAAGAAACCAGGAAGTTTTACACAGTTTCACTTGTGTAACAACTGAACTCCAAAGCTAGTGGCTGACAACAAAACTTTGCTCATGCTTTGCTGGACACAAAAGGAAAAAGGAGGCACAATTTACCTTATGATGACATCATATGAGTCAATTTTCTCCCCTAGTGTCTTATTTCGAAGCACTCCTCCGTTACCAACCACGACGCAGCGTCGACAGGCAATGCTGGGAAACAAAGAGAACTTTTAACATCCACAGCTCCCCTTGCTTCACATGGCTATTAAAGCCATGTTTGCATTTAGCTGGCTTATTCATTAACTGAGGGCCTGCATCTTTCACATCCCTGCTGAACAGTCTCAATCCTCTGGCACAGGCTAAGGCTGCTTTGAAAAAAAAGTAAAACAAAATGCAGCTGCATTATTTCAGGGACTGCCAAGGTCAGGAAATGGCTTCCATCATGTAAAGCTGTTTTTATACATGTCCTTTTTCTAGTGGTTTGCTGTTCAAGATCACCTAACAACCAATTTTTGACAGGGGTACCATTAGATCCTCCATTATCTTCCACAATGCTTCAAACTTGTCCCAGTTTGGGGAGACACCAATGATGACGGAGTACATCTGGAAAAATTTTAATTAAGCTGCTTCTGCAATATTGTACAACTCAACAAACTCTGGAAAACTCCAACAGAAGCTGGAGCAGCAAGAGATACATTCACAATTTACCTTGCAGGCCTCTGAATTGTACATGTGACACGTGAGGGCTTTTCACATGAGCATAACCATGTTTTCTCTCCCTCTGCTTAGGAAAGGGAATGTCTAAACATGCTGGAGTGCACGCTGACGTGACGTAAGGAGAGGGATGCACTTGATTAAAAGCTGCATTCTCATATGGCTGGATTCAAATTAGACAGCATTACTGAGTATATAGAACACTGGGAGCTACGGATTACACAACCTCCAATCAAAACAGTAATTCCTTTCAAGTTTAGAATGTATTCAGAGTTAAAAGTGCCCCCAAAAAAGGTAATACGAAAGGCTAAACTTAACGTCAATTCCAATGGTAAAATTTTCCACATTATTTCAGGATTTCCAATGGTAGCTTTTGCTCTCTGTCTTTTTTTCAGTGCTAGGAAAAGGCATGCTTTGCTAGGGTAAAAACAAACCAAAGAATAACAACTTGCAGACAGGCTTAATGTTTTTTTTACTGAAGACATTTTGGCTTTTTAGGGAAGGTTTACATCTAACACAAGATTGCAAACTCCCCCTTACAGAACAAGCAAGTAGTTTTTTGCTGTAAAAATGCTTCTTTATTTAGAGTAAAAGCTGTTCAACTTGGTTACAGCAGGAACAATGGCCAAACAAAAATGTTGGTATGTTCTTTAGACAGATAAACAGGCTCACAGGTTACTGAGGATGAGCCACCTCTCAAAGTTCTATTCCCACAGCTCTCCAAGTAAGAAAAAGGCTCTGTGCCATTTCTTACTGTAGGGGACCCCAGGACTGTGCCTCAAAGCATGCTATAATCTGTATTAAATGCCCAGTGTTGCATTTTATGCAGACTAATTAATATCTTTCTCCCCAGACAGTCCAACCTGTTTTTTCAGCTGAGGGGAGTATTATCCATCATCAAAAGAAAACAGTCTGCTCCAGCTGAGACTGCTCAACATCTCCATGCACAAAGTAGTTCCCTCCATTTCCTACAGAGCAGTTTGCTGTACCACGTGTGGGCTGGGGAAAAGAAACTCATCCTCAAAGCAATGCTGAAAACCTCAAGCTTACAGAAAAGATGAAGTGAGAATAAATGCCAACTGTAAAATGTTGAAGCTGTGTATCTCAAAAGAAACACTGAGGTGGCACCCTCTGACCTGCTGCTCTAGGGTCACATCTGCAGCAGGAGTTGCCTGTAAAAATATATATACATATCACTATATATATATATATATATCACTATAAATAGTGATGCCAAATGCAGCTCTCACAGTGGGGTGACATGGAAAAAGCTGGCACACCTTTCTTTAGTGTTTCCTGAGCAGCTTAGCAGAAGCCAAGCATTCATGAAAAGATTTCCAGCTAATGCCACAAGTCCATGTGACTTGGTACCTCAGAAACCAGAGAGGTGAAACCCTGTTACACCATCCTGTTCTCACAAAACCATTCCTTCTCTGCTCCCAGGACTGCTTCAGCTCATTCATTTTCAAATTAGTTTTTCCATCTGCTTTTAAGATACCCTGGGAAAGCAGGCTGATGAACATACACCTCTTGCAAAGTTTACAGTGGAAGGAAGGGAGCAGAAGTTACCCTTGTCCTGAATTACACTTTGTTACTTGCAGCTACATCAGAGCTCAAAGCAAGATCCTGGGCTACAGAGAAGTGATAGGGAGAAACAGGAAGGAAAAAGGAAAACTGGACAAAAAAATGTGATCAGGAAGTGATAAAGGTGTAATGAGGAAAGGGGGGGAGAAGTAGAGAATTAGCATTTGGCTGTATCATGTTTTCTTGTCATTTGCCTCTATAAACCACTGAAAGTTTCAATCATCTCAAACCTGTGAACTCAGCACCACCAAAAGTTATGTGGCTGCAGGTGGGGGAGTGAGGTACAAGCTTCATCACCACAAGGCTCATCCTGAACTGCTACTCATGCCCCAGCTCCCAGGGGTACCTCCTGGCTGGAGCATCCACCCTCCATGCTTGGTGGACACCCTGATTTGGCAGAGGCTGACACTCAAGACACTCCTCTTTACATCTCAATAAAAAGCCAGAAGAAAACTGCTCCTAGTCTTGGGGAATATTTTCTTTTGCACTTTCTGACTGCTTGATATGAAGTCACAAAAGCTACATCAACTCCACTGCAAGTGATTCACATTTTTCTGACCATGAT